GAGGACATAGTGTAGTATACGGGACTCCACAGAAAGCAACCCCACCGTATAGTGCAAGTGTTCCCCACGGACTCTTCTCTGCTCCTGCACGGCATCCTCTCGTACATATCCTGGAAGTACTACACCACTATCAGCGTCATACACCACAGTCTGAGAAGAGTCAAAATCATAGCCGAGTATCTCCAACCATGCAGGTGCCGTCATGATGATCTCTATTCCACAGACCCTCGACCTCAGCTCGCCCTGTACGTAGCTGAGGTTATGGTAGAAGGCCCGCACCATAAGCTCTGAATACGGACATAGGGTCTCGGCCAACACCCTCAGATGTGCCGCCTCCAACACCCCCACAATTTCAAATCCCTCCTTATCAAAAAAGGTTGTATCCAAAGATTTTGGAGCACATAACGGCCGGTTCAAATGGTCACGTACGAATGAAGCGTGGACGGCAGGGTCGTCCTCAAACAGATACCCATACGGGAGGTCAACAGTATCAGGCTCTTCGTCTTGTCGCCTTGACGAAGAAGGCCGCTCTTGCCTATGCTTGGTGCGTCTCTCAAGTGACTCATTGCCCTCATCGCTTGGTCTTCTGCGGCTCGTCATTTGTTTACGGTACCTACAATGAAACATGTCAGCATTTAACTATATGAAACATGTCATGATGGTAATGAAAACTTGCAACATAAGCGCTGTAAACCAAAAGCAAACTTTTGCCCCATACAAACTTTTCAAACAAAAAAATTCACACAATGCAAAAAAATAAACCTTAGTAGATTAGGGTTACAAAACCTACAACAAACGCTTTGATTAGAGTTCACAAATTCGGACAACAAACAAATACAAAAAATTCCTAAACCTAAAACACAATGCAAGTTAAGAAACCTTACCTATCCTTCAGATTTCACGATTTGGACCAAATTTGGGGGCAATCCACACGCCTAAAGGAAGGGTTTGGGGCGTTCTTCAGCTGCTCCTGCGGATTTGGGGTTTGGGCTGCCTCCTTAGTCGATTAGGTCATCCTACTCCCCCTCTGCCGAATGGGGGGTTTTTAAAAAACAAATCCGTCGATATTTAGTCGACTAAATATCGATACTTAGTCGACTAAATATCCCAAAAATGTAGTCGATTAAGATGATTTTTTAGTCGACTAAATTTGCGGAAGTCCACTTTCTGAAGATTGACCATTTGCTCGACTAAAACAGCAAGGTAGTCGACTAAAAGGGGGCAGGTTGGTGGATAGTTCTTGATCAGGGGCAAATTGGTTATTAATTAATTAATGAGGGGCAAAAGGGTCAAAAAGCCCAAGCAAGCCTATGTCTAGGTCATACAAGAATTGATATTTTACCCCTGTCAAGACTAAAATCCCAATATGTCTATTGCGAGTTCTAACCCTCAAATCCCTATAGGAGTGATCAGTTCATACAAGGATATAAAAATTCATGCAAGGTAAAACACAAATACTGAAATAATTTATTAAGGAAACTAAATCAAACCACAAATAGGATTCACATCAGATCGATAATCCTAACTACATAAATAAACTAGCCTAACATGTCCATAAATTCAGAATTATTAAATAATGAAAAATAAACAGAGTTCATGATAAAACTTGGATTAAAGACGATCAATGGTGAAGCTTTTGATCTCCTTCTCTTCCTCTGGAATCCTGCTCCAGAGTTTCTCCTCTGCCTATGCCTTCTTGCTCTGAGTTCGTCTCCGCGTTAGCCTTTCTTTTTCTTCCGAATCTATTTCTGAAGGCTTCGTTGCATTGTATTTGTAGGCTGAAAACTGGGCTTTTTATTTTTGGGCTGCTCGCAATCATGCTCGCTGCTGCTAGTTGAAGGGCGAGCTGCTCGAAATTATGCTCGCTGAGGCGAGCTGGAGGGTGAGCTGCTCGAAATTGTGCTCGCTGAGGCGAGCTGGATGGTGAGCTGCTCGAAATTGTGCTCGCTAAAGAGAGCTGGAAGGCGAGCATTAATAAATTTTATATATATTTATTTAATTCTGGATTTTCTTGATACTCCTCGAATGCCAACTGTTTCCTCGATCAGGTTAGTACTAGTTTGTTCTTCTCGTATGAAACAACCTGAAACAACAATAAAAATTAGAATCTTATCCCTTTGTTGGCATTTTCATATTCTTTCAGATTTTATTAATTAACACCATATTTTTAATCATATTAATTATTATTTGAACTATTTTTCACATTAAAAACATAGTGTTTTTGACACTTATCATTCCCCAATTTCTGAGATTAAACCAATAACATCTACAAAAAAAAGAGGGCCGCAAAGAGTTCGTAAAAAAAATACAATAATTAAAAAATGGACAACAGTAAGGAAAAATATATTACCCACTAAATAAGGAGAGTCAGATGTTTCTTTCTCAATGATGTCATAATCAACAAAATCAAATTCACGCGCAGAAATATTTGAACACATCAGTCCTCAAGTTGAAAGACAAACGATACTGATGCTTGTTGGCCTGAACACATCGTTATTGAATCCAACTCCAAATTTTTTTATAAAATAGCACTCTCCTTCGTGGATTTTCTTCCGCACCTGCAAGGAACCTTTGACAGTCGCGTGGGACCTACCACCCTACAAAAGAATGCAGCCAACTCACATCAATAACGTTAATTAAAATTATCAGAACAAAGATGGAAGATTTAAAAAACGCAGACAACAACTTGTTCATCCAATAAAACCATTTTCAACATTGTCGTCAAAATCTTTACGTTGAAAGTTAGGAACTTTCCAAGCCCGAACCACCTTCACCTTAGTCCTCCAGTCCTCCATGGCAGGATTGACATCCTTCAGAAAATCATATTTTGAAAACATATTTTTTGTAAGACGAAGAGAGAGAAGCAAGAAGCGATTTCGTTGAGGAAGCAATGAGCAAACAGCAGATATTTGGCAGCAGCAAAAAAAGAAAAAATAAAGAGAAGGAACAATATCGTCCCCAAGCGTTGGTATAGAATACAAAGTAGATGTATTTTTTAAATTCTTTAACAAAATCAATGCAAAATGTAGCTCAACATTAAATGAGTTGCCTGTCACCATTCAGAATTCAAAAATCAAATTTAAAATTTTAAGTTAAAATTCAAATTCAAATTTGAAAATTCAGAAAGCAGTGAGATATTAATAATAATTTGTAGAAAGAAGAGGTACATTAAATGAGCTGTCTGTCACCAACATTTATAACAAATCTTGACCATTGATTTAAATTAAGAAATCTTGTACATCGATTTGCTCTTGAAAAATTGATTTTGTTTTATAATTATTTTATTCACTGATTTCCAAAAGAAAGAAAGGTTTTTAAAATTTTGTAGTGTGAACACAAAACTGAAAGTGAAGGAGAAAGCGACATGTCAGCAAACTTGCCAAAGAATGGAATTTCTTTAGAATAATAGATTCCTAAATCTGATTTTAATTTTTGTAAATATAAATTTATAAAATTTCAAATGCTATCGACACAAATCGTTGCACAAAATAATTATTTATTATTATTTGGTAAATCAGTTGTAATAAATGAAAGTCCATACCTCTGAGATAAAATATAAAAACCTAAATGCAACTATAAGAACATTTTTGTGTAGATAAATATAAAAACATATTACATGCTAGTAGTTAGAGGTGGCAAACTAGGTTTGGCCCGGAGGGCCAACCCACCAATTTATTTTTATAATTAAATTAAAATTTCATATACTTCTTCTTTTATAATTAAATTCCTAAATCTCATTTCAATTTTTGTAAATACAAATTTGTAAAATTCAAAATACTAAGGACACAAATCCTTGCAAAAAAATAATTATTTATTATTATTTTAGAAATCTGATTGTAATAAATGAATATTCATCTCTGAGATAAAATATAAAAACTTATATGCAACAATAAAAAAAAATTTATGTGGATAAATATAAAAACTTATTACATGTCGGTATATAATACTGACAATTAGAGGTTGCAAACTGGACTCGGTCCGAAGGACCGGCCTGCCAACATTTTTTTATAATTAAATTCCTAATTCTGATTTTAATTTTTGTAAATACAAATTTGAAAAATTACAAATAATAACGACACAAATCTTTGCAAAAATATATTTATGTATTATTATTTTGTAAATTTGATTGTTCTAAATGAAAGTTCATCTCTGAAAAATACTGAAAGAAGTTGAGTCAAACTTTGTAATTTTTGAATGACCATATGGCAAGGTAAAATGCAACAATATACTTTTTTGTGTTGCATAATTTTTACGAGACAAACAAATCGATTTTTTCTCTCTGTGCAACGCACGAGTAATACACTAGTTATTTATAAATTTAAGTTACATGTAGCTGTAAGAATCTAAATTAGAGTTCAACTCTCAGGGATAAGGTGATAGATTTATCTTATAATATTTGGGTTTTTTACTTTATCTTTCTTAGGCTGTTATTAGTAGAGGTTGGGACCAATGGATTGGGTTCAGAATAAGTAAAAAAATAATTAACAAAAGTGCATGAATAATTATACAATTAAAGATAAAATCATTTTTTCAATCACTTAACGTCTAATAATAATAGGTATATAATTATGATTTTTTATATTTAATATAGTTATGATTCTCCATATTTAATGTTGTTACCCATATCTATGATAAATAATTAATTGTTGAACATCAAGCGGCAGAAGAAATATAAATTTCATAATAAAAATTGAGTTAAAATTTAACAATAAGATTTTAAAATAAAAATAAATCATAAAGTTTTATTATGTCATAACATTAAAAATAATTTAATTTGTCAAAGCCAATTAATTTTAATTTTTAATTTTAATTTTGTTTCGTCAGCTTGCATATAACTATTAATTTATGTATACAAGTTTAGTCAATGCAAATCTTCTCACTATGCAATACAGTTATTTTCCACGAGCATCCATATCCACACACACACATATATAATATATATATATATCGGGAATCAAGTAAAGAATTGTCAATTGCAGACTACAAGTCTTCTTGTTCCTCCTTTGCAAATCAATTTTTTTTTTCAACACACAAACTAAACCCAGAAAAACTCAAAACACCCACATGATAATCTTAGCCACTTCCAGTGTTAAACTACCAATTTACTCTTTTGTGACAATCTTCCTTATCCTGAGCCATGTAGACTCTCAGTCTCAACTTCATGATAAAGAACATGAAGTCCTACTCAAAATAAAGCAACACCTTAAAAACCCCCCATTTCTCAATCACTGGAACCCATCAAACACCTCTCACTGCTATTGGCCAGAGATCAACTGCACCAGTGGCTCAGTCACTGGACTAGCTCTGGTCAACAACAACATCACTCAAACATTACCACCTTTCATATGTGACCTTAAAAATCTCACACATGTTGATTTCAACACCAACTTCATCCCTGGGGAGTTCCCAACTTATCTCTATAAGTGTTCCAAGCTTGAGTACCTTGACCTGTCTCTGAACAACTTTGTTGGTAACTTTCCTGATGATATTGACAACTTGGTTAACTTGAAGTATCTTAACCTTGGCTCCACAAACTTCAGTGGTGACATTCCTGCTAGTATTGCAAGGTTAAAGGAATTGAGAGTACTTAGACTTCAATATTGTCTATTTAATGGTACTTTCCCTGCTGAGATTGCCAACTTGTCCAACCTTGAAACCTTGGATTTGTCCTCTAACATGATGTTCCTTCCTTTGAGGTTGCCTACTAACTGGACCATGTTGAACAAGTTGAAGGTGTTTTATATGTATGACTGCAACTTGGTTGGGGAAATCCCTGAATCAATTGGACAAATGGTGGCTTTGGAGAAATTGGATATATCACAAAACGGTTTAACTGGAAAAATTCCTGCTGGTTTGTTCATGATGAAGAATCTGAGCATAGTGTATCTTTTCAGAAACAACCTTTGTGGAGAGATACCTGGTGTGGTTGAAGCATTGAATTTGACAGCCCTTGATCTTGCAGAAAATCATCTTACAGGGAAAATACCAGATGATTTTGGGAAGCTCCAAAAGTTAACATGGTTGAGTTTGTCTATGAATAACTTGTCAGGGGAGATACCAGAAAGCATAGGCCTTTTACCATCTCTGGTAGATTTTCGTGTCTTTTTGAACAACTTATCAGGTACTCTTCCTCCTAAACTTGGCCGCTACTCAAAGCTTCAAACCTTTCTGATTGCATATAATAGTTTTAATGGAAGGCTACCTGAGAATTTATGCTATCATGGTGAGTTACTTAATTTAACTGTTTATGAAAATAATCTGAGTGGTGAGTTGCCAGAATCACTTGGAAATTGCAGTAGCCTGCTTGATCTGAAAATTAACAGTAACGAGTTTTCTGGTAACATTCCCAGTGGACTTTGGACTTCCAATTTGGTAAATTTCATGGTAAGCCAGAATAAGTTCACTGGTGAGCTTCCTGAAAGATTGTCTTCAAGCATTACACGCTTTGAGATAAGTTACAATCAGTTTTATGGTAGAATTCCAGCTGGAGTATCTTCATGGACTAATGTGGTAGTGTTTAATGCCAGTAAGAACCACTTTAATGGAAGTATTCCACAAGAGCTAACAGCTCTTCCCAAGTTAATAACTCTGTTGCTTGATCAGAACCAACTGAGTGGGCCACTTCCATCAGTTATAATATCATGGAAGTCCCTAATAAATCTAAATTTGAGCCAAAACCAAATCTCTGGACAAATCCCAGATGCAATTGGTAGGTTACCTGGCCTTCTTCAGCTTGATTTGTCAGAAAATCAATTATCTGGCAAAGTTCCTTCTGTGCTTCCCAGACTCACAAATCTCAATCTATCCTCCAATCATTTGACAGGGAGGATACCAAGTGAATTTGAAAATTCTGAGTATTCTAGCAGCTTTTTGAACAATTCTGGCCTCTGTGCTGATACCCGAGCAGTGAACCTTACCTTGTGCAATTCTAGCCCTCAAAAGCCAACCAAAGGCTTACATTGGTCTCTTGCTTTGATTATAAGCCTGGTGGTACTAGCCTTCTTACTCACTTTGTTGACATCATTCTTGATTATGAAACTTTACAGAAAAAGAAAACAAGGATTGGGTTACTCATGGAAGCTCATTTCCTTTCAAAGGCTGAGTTTTAGAGTATCCAACATAGTGTCATCAATGACAGATCATAATATTATAGGAAGTGGTGGATTTGGTACAGTATTCCGTGTCCCAGTTGCTGATTTCGGCTATGTAGCTGTGAAAAAGATCTTTAATAACAGAAAGTTGAACCAAAAGCTTGAGAGCTCATTTCGTGCAGAAGTTAAAATATTGAGCAATATTCGTCATAACAACATTGTGAAGTTGTTGTGCAGTATCTTCAATGAGGATACAATGCTCCTTGTGTATGAGTATATGGAAAACCATAGCCTTGATAGGTGGCTGCACAAGAAGAGTAAGTCATCAGGTTCAGTCCATCATTTTGTCCTTGATTGGCCAAAGAGATTGCAAATAGCCACTGGGGTTGCCCATGGTTTGTGCTACATGCACCATGACTGTTCACCACCTATTGTTCATAGAGATGTGAAAACAAGCAACATTCTCTTGGATTCTCAATTCAATGCAAAAGTTGCTGATTTTGGTCTGGCTAGGATGTTAATGAAGCCAGGACAATTTAACACCATGTCATCTGTGATTGGCTCATTTGGCTATATGGCTCCAGGTGAATGACATTTCAATCCTTTTGTTTTCTTCTTACTAACTATTAGAGAATAATATAAAGTATTAAAAAGACCATCACTTAATATCTTAAGGTTTTGGGTTGAATTGGTTATTAACATGGTATCAGAGCTTCAGGGACCATGAGGTCACAAGTTCGATTCTTACCGCCCCCCACTTTCAGGTGGAATTAAGAAAAGCACAAGGTAGACCAAAAAAATGGGCTTGTGCCATATCCACGTTGCGTGAGGAGGTGTGTTAGAGAATAATATAAAGTATTAAAAAGACCATCACCTAATACCTTAAGGTTTTGGGTTGAATTGGTTCTTAATACTAACAAATACATTCCTTAGTTAAATTCTTTTTTCCATTGGCATAAGTTCCATTCCAATGTGTTTTTTCATGCTTGAATTGCAGAATATGTTCAAACAACTAGAGTCAGTGAAAAGATTGATGTCTTCAGCTTTGGAGTTATCCTATTGGAACTGACAACTGGTAAAGAAGCTAATTATGGTGATGAGCATTCATCTCTTGCAGAGTGGGCGTGGCGCCACATTCATGAAGGAAGCAATATAGAAGAGCTACTAGACAATGATGTCATGGAACCAAGTTACTTGGATGAAATGTGCAGTGTTTTCAAACTTGGGATCATGTGTACTGCAACACTTCCTGCTGGTAGGCCTTCCATGAAGGAGGTGGTGCACTTATTGAACCGATGTGGAGAAGGATATACTTTTGGAGAGAGGAATTATAGGCCATATGATGATGTTCCCCTTCTTAAGAATTCAAAATGGGAGTGTAAATTGGATGTTGTTGATAATTATAGTGATTGAATAACTGGGTTTCCAAGGAAGACTACCACTAGAAAGTAGAATGAAGCATTTTGTGACAAGCCAAACATGGTTCGGTAGAGGGAAGAAAGTAGAATCCAGCATTATACAAACATAGCTTTGAGGCAGTGTTGTGAGGTTCGCTTTGATTTGAACCTTTCTTGGGGATTGTCTATCTATTATACCTACCATTTTGTTTCCTTTTCTCATGTTTTTCATCCTTTTTCAGTAATATGTAAGTGTAGTGGTAGACTTCCAATATAATGCTATTTATTTGAATTTGAGAACTTTTTATTAAGAGGAGTAATTAGTGTAAGCAGAGTGGTGGAGTTCCACAATAATCAAACAAATTTTGCAACATTCAATCAACAGTCTACTCACTCTTGCATGCTTAATCGCTAAAATTGCATCACCTACTACAATAATTTGGATTCTACCTTCAATGCACGAAAATTCATGTGGTCAAGTTAAACAAATTACAATACCATGAAGGAATAATTGGATTTGTGAAACCATTGTGCTTTGGTATACTAACAAATTATCAGTATCATCTTATTTATCAACACAAATGAAATACCTCTGGTAGCTTAAGACTCAACTGAAAGTGGATACGTATAGAATTTTGTTCGACATTTCTCATATACTAAATCTCAAAAAGGCGGCTTTAAGTAATGATAACATAATTCCATAGATTACAGTAATGTTATAAAAACCGGCTCGAACTAGCTGGATTAATTTGGAACCCTAGTGATCTAACCGATTTGAGCCCAGCAATAGACCGGTCATGTATCGGATTCAATGAAAACCAATTTGACTCAACCAATTTTTTTCAAAACTGGAGAGGCAATTCACAACTAAATGGGTCATACATTAAAAAAATAAAATAAAATAAAAAATTGTGTGATAGGATGTTCCCTTTTAAAATCTTAATCTAATACACCCCCTAGTCACAAGTTTCTGGCATTCAAGGAAGAAAAATGTCCGGTGTAGCAGCTGGGCGAAGCTCTCTTTACGTTGAATATCTTTGAAGAATATTTGACAGCGGCCATGGTGTTTGTTGCTCGATATAAAAATCAAAAGATGTAGAGAGGGTTGACGCTATTACTTTCCTCTTCTTGAAGCAAAAGCTCAAAAAAAAAAAGGATTTATTTGTTTGTTATGCTATACAATACACATATAAATTTAGGGTAAATAGATTGTTATGTTACACGATGTAACAAAATATTTCTACTCCAACAATAGAATGTGGGCCTCATCCCTTAACTTTTCTCTCTCCACTCTTCTCTTTCCTTTCCATTGTGAGAGTAGGAATTGTTATCTTACATCATGTAACATAACAATTCTGATGCACTTGAGTCACCATAAGTCATCATAGTTGTCATTTAGAGGGGTTTTAAGGCCTTTTATGAATTTTAATAATTGCAGACGTTTCAGTTTGCATGACTTTATGTTTGGTTTATGATTATTTCTGTTTTGAATCAGTTTTATTTCTGTTTTGTGTCAGTTTTAAGACCATTGATAGTCCTTTATTGTTGTTTACTTTCTGTATTGACTAATTAAAAAGGCTTGTAGAAGGATGTGAAAGGAGGACTTTTGATTGTTGAAGAATAATAATATAGCAGAAAACTTCTGCACTTACCTGAAAGTCTACTTTCCCTATAATTCTGCATCATTTGGTATCAAAGCTCAGGTTGCCTTAAAGATGGCTGAGCAGGAAAATCGCGGAGGTCGTGGTCGTGGATGAAGAGGTTATAACAACTCACATTTCTAAATGTGTAAATTGTGTGATGATGTGGGTTAAAAGGGTAGGATTAGTGAAAATCCATGAATTAGGGTCAAAATGGCCAAAAAGGGCAAAACGGTAATTTTACCAAACCTGTACCCGAGGAATGAGAAATTGAGTAGAAGGCCTCAAATGAGAAAAATAATGCCGGAAATGGACTCAGGACGAAAAATTTAGTGAATAGGCAAGTTTGGAAAAATTGATGAATAGTGATTTTCCCGGTGATGAAATGCTACGGTATGAGTGTACCGTTAAGCGTGAAGCTTTATCAAGGTTGTTAGGAAATAAAAATATGACTTGAGTCAGAAAAATACGTAGATTGAGGAATGGTAGTTGAAATTGATGTTTGGTTGGAGGTTAGACGCGTGTGGGACCCACTTTACTGGGACCCACTTAAGTGGCCCTATTTCTCTCCTCCCCCACGGCCTTTCTCTCTCTTTCTCCCTCTTTTTCTTTTTCTTCTTCTTCTTCTTCTTGTCGCCCCTCCGTGGGAGCCAAAGGGCAAGAATTTCTCTTGCCCTTTCCACACAAATGGTCCACCAAAACAAAAATGTCCCAACATCAAAGTTGTTTGTATTGAGATTGTGAGTATATTTCCCTACTTGAGAGAGTATGTCTAAATGTTGTGTACGTTGGGGAATAGGATGACGCGTGTGGGACCCACTTTACCGGGACCCACTTAAGTGGCCCTATTTCTCTCCTCCCCCACGGCCTTTCTCTCTCTTTCTCCCTCTTTTTCTCTTCTTCTTCTTCTTGCCGCGCCTCCATGGGAGCCAAAGGGCAAGAATTTCTCTTGCCCTTTCCACACAAATGGTCCACCAAAACAAAAATGTCCCAACATCAAAGTTGTTTGTATTGGGATTGTGAGTATATTTCCCTACTTGAGAGAGTCTTGAGAGTGAGTGTGTGATGAGATCTCCCTTGGTGAAGGGGTGGCGGTTTTGAGGAGTTTGGGGGGCCATTGATGGTGCTTTGGCTTGATGGAAGGCTTGATTATCAACCCTTGGAGCGTTAGGAAGCTATTGATGGTAAGAATTCTTGATTTCCTTTGAGTTTTGTGATGATTACAAAACAGGTTTAGATTTTGATGATGTATGATGAGTTTGGGCAGTTAGGGGCTTTATATGATGTTGCTCCTTTGAAATTTATTGCTCATAATGAGGTTTAATGATGATTGGTGCAATAAAATTTATAGTGATTTTGGACTTCCTAACTTAGAGAAATTTGTGATGAAATTCTATGCTTGTGAAGTAACATGACGATAGGAAGCTCAAATGGAAAATTGGCAATACTGAAATTGCCTTAGAATGCCTTGTTATAGCTAGAAATGCTATGAAAATTCTAAGTGAAAATGATGTTTTAACTTAGAAAAATTGTGGTGTCTTGGAATTGAGAAATTAAGTTGTTTGAAGGTATTATGATTAGTTGTTGTATAATGTGATAATATGATCATTTGAGGTGTAGGATTGATGAATTGATCATTAGGCTTAGTTGCTTGTGTAACTAATGTATGAATTGATGCATTGTTAGGATTGTTGGTTGATCATTGTGTTGATCAATGTAGGGTACCTCACATGGACGCTATGGAAGCAGATTGAGCTTGGAGCTTACGTGGGAGCATTGGCTTCGGAATTGAGGTAAACCCTGGGAACTTGGGTTTAATCCCTTGTGTGCTCCACCACACCTAGTGGAAGGTTGTGGTTGGATTCTGTGTTTTGAACATGGTGTGATTATGTATGTTCATGCATTATTGCTTGATTGTGAGACATGCTTGGAGCATGTTTTGTGTGAATTGTTTGATCTCTGGCCAGTTGATATTTGTTGGTTTGGACGTCCGTTGGAGATACCCGTTGGGGACTCCAGTCAGGTTTTGCCGTGGGGCCGACTCTGGGAGCGGTACCAGGACGTTCCGAACGAGGGACTTCCACTGGATAGGGCTCATGAGGAGTTCCAGTTGGGTTGTTGCCATGGAGTCGTCTCAACCATGGGAGAGGCACTAGGAAGATTCCGGGAGTTATACGATGGGGTCTTGGAACGTAATCCTGATGTGGATGTTCTTGGATTTGTGCCCAGTTGTTTGTGATATTGTATGCCATGCATTTCATACTATGTTGTTTGTTGCACATTGAGTGAGCCATGGGGTGGAGTGATCCTCTAGTACCCTTGGTTTACTGAGATATATTTGTATATCTCACCCCGTGTTGGGGGACATCGTTTCAGGTTAGGTTGAGCCAGGAGGATTGGAGCATGAGATGCATATGGAGAGCATGACACATTGGAGGATTTCACTTATGCACTTAGCATAGGGTTTTATGCTTTGTATTTATATCATGAAATGGTGCATGTTGAACATGCCATGTTTTGTATATTCATGATCATATTAAGTCTTTCAATCACGGTTGTATAACTATGTTTTGTATAATTGAATAATTGTATATTTGGAGTGAGCATGGAACTTGTCCATCGCCACCGATGTTATATTTGAATCATGTAAACATAATGTCAAGGGCTTAGGCTTAGTTATGAATTGTTATAAGAATGGAAATCAAATGCATGAAAATGAATCTTATGATTTAAGCCTAGGAAATGTACTATATGTAAAATTGAGCTGTGATGGGTTGTAAGTGCCCCAAGGCGTTGTTGGTCCTTGTGTGAGCCACCCATATGATATATATATACATATATATATATATATATATATACATATATAATGTTGTTTTTAGATGGCTTAACCAATTGGGGAATCCTTGTATAAACAAAGGAAACTCTGGCCGATTTCTGGGAAATTGGCATGTTTTAGGCGAATTTTGGGAGGACGTATCTTCCTACACGGTGGTCCAAATGGGACGTGCCATACGCCATATTGTAGATGGTGTAACCCTCTAATCCGTGTCAAAAATTGGGGGCAATTGGAGTTGTGAGCGGGTTGGTATGAGTTTGAGAAAAACAGTGCAGAAAAAATTATGCAGCTGCTGCTGCATCTGGTGTAGGGCGCTAAAACGCCCAACTGGGGCGCTTTAGCGCGCTGCATACGGGAAACAAGGGAAATTCCCTCTGCCCGTGGGCGCTAAAACGCGCTGATGTGGGCGCTTTAGCGCGCTGCATACGAGTGATGTGGAAAAGTCCCCTGCCAATGGGCGTTAAAGCGTCAAAGTGGGAGCGTTTTAGCGCGCGGCTACCTGTGAAAAACCAATCTCCCTGTCGTTGGGCGCTAAAACGCCCAGTTTGAGCGCTTAAGCGCGTTATGTCCTGTGCTGAGCCAATCTTGTTGCCACTGAGCGCTAAAGCGCGCAGTTGGGGGCGCTTTAGCGCACTCCCTGAAATTAGCAAAGGTGAAGTTTTGGCAAAACTGCCATAACTTGAGCTACTGAGCTCCAAATTGTACGCGATTTGAAACCACGTGTAGCTAATAGAGAGAGCTATAACATTGTAAATAATGAGAGTCAAAAAGAAGGATATAATTGAATGGGTTTATGGGAACCCTGTAAGCCTTATTGTAGGCGGAGTAAACAATGAGAGCATAATAAATGGTG